GTTCTGACAAAGTTCTTGAGAGTCCACGATCTTGACAAGGCCTTTCTGCAGTATAAACCCCGCAAGAATCTAGCGCGGCTAGATGCTTTAGATGTCTTTGATATAAGCTTTTAAATTTCAATTGACTTTCAATCCTTCAAAGTGAAAATTTCCAAAACCATAGTTCTTCTGTTCAATGGCAGCGTTGCGCAATCTTTTTGATTTGAGTGCCATCTCCACATCAATTTGACATGCTATCAGACATAAACTACCACCATTCACGATTGAAGGATACATGCAGTATGCATGTATCCTTCAATCTGCGTAATTCTACCCTACATCGCAAAGAGCCTTTCCGTGTTACTGCTCTGTTATGGCACACCTGAATTTCCAAGAAAATGTTTTTCTTTGTGGAGTAGTTGAGGCTGTATGATACAAATCACGGTGATTAGCACGGAAAACTTCTCTCACCTGTGCATCCCCTGAGAATAAATGTCTCAGCCAGCACTTTTATATAACCAAACCTATGCATGTAAGTGCGGAAACACGGAGCAGCTCTTCTCATTCTTCTCATCCGTCTTACATAAGTAAAGCGGGGCGAAAATAATAATTTTCTGCTGATTCGATAGTCCTAGGTTAGCTGAAAAGGGAAAACTACAATACCACTCTCATAACGTGCAAAATTTCCGTGAATGTCGCGAAATTCCGAAATTTCCGCGAACTTTCCGGAATTTCGCGAAATTCCGGGAATGTCGCGAAGTTTCGCGAAATTCCGGAAATTTCGCGGAATTTTCGGAATTTCGCGACATTTTCGGAATTTCGCGACATTTACGGAAATTTTGCACATTCTGTGAGCGGTATTGTATTCGACGTGCTAACAACATTTCTTACATTGTTTTGCTGCCAGTGACACATTGTAGGATAGAATATCTGCCAACACGACTTTCGAATTTGAAAGACAATTCATGAGAAGGCGATTTTGTAACATCATAATCTGACGAACAATTCAAATAAAGATCTGTGCTAAGCATGGTCCGATAAAGGTGTTCACAAAGTTTTGTACTCGCAAAAATTTGCGGACAATTTCCGCAACAGGTAGGCGAAAAGTGCAGGCGAAGTTGCGATCTTGATTGGTTTAGCTACTTCTATCTCACTTTAGCTTTACTGTAAGACTCTCTAGTGCAAAATAAATAGGATTTTCGTAAAGATCGGGACCAAAAACCACTATGAGCGAAGTTTCCGGTCAATCGGAGAAACTAATATTTTGAACCAAATCTTGCGCCGAGGCCAAGAGTGAGGAGCGAGAAAAAATCAAGTGCTACTAGTTCCTTAGAAAATCAAACCATAGATGTTATCCGACCCATTGATTACAAAAAACACATCTGATTAGCGAGATAGCTTCTTTCTGTAGGACTACGGTGGATAGATTTTAGAGAAATGTCGATTTTTTCGAAATTTGCTAGCTCCGCCCACTTTTGGCCCCGCCCACACCCAAGTCTCCACCCACTTTTCCCCCACCTTCCCATTCCAACCCATCCATGCCTGGGCCACTAACCCGCCAATAACCACCAATGAACCACTTCTGACCGATTTATACATAGAGATCAAAGATCAAATTATCTCCAGATACTATAGGGCAGCGCCCCTTCACATTCATGCTGCTGTCCAACTTTCTTCATCAGCTGATAGCGCATCAAAAGTTGTATCGAAATATTGCTATGCCAGCGCCTTGGTTATTCTCCTGGAATTATCATTTCATTTTGATCTATCATAAAGTTTTCCGAAAAATTTCCAAGTCCAGAACCGTTCTTAGATCAGCCTCTTGTGTATTTAACATCCATTTCTTCTGTAAATTTTTTGGTATAACCCCTTCGAATATAAACACAAATACGGGTATCCGGACACTTCGTTCCCATTTTCCACAAAGATATGCATAAAAATGTACATTGGCTTTCTTATAAACCCTCGCTTATAAAAGAGTTCAAATCCCGCTTTTATCATAGAAAGAAAGAGCTCACAAAGTTGCATATAAATGACTTCATAGCATTTGCCCATCAGCGCTAGTCGCGGTGATATGCGGTCACTCTCGCACCGTAATCAGCAAATCTCGCACCTCAGCTGTCAATTACAATACCACTCTCATAACGTGCAAAATTTCCGTGAATGTCGCAAAATTCCGAAATTTCCGCGAACTTTCCGGAATTTCGCGAAATTCCGGGAATGTCGCGAAGTTTCGCGAAATTCCGGAAATTTCGCGGAATTTTCGGAATTTCGCGACGTTTTCGGAATTTCGCGACATTTACGGAAATTTTGCACATTCTGTGAGCGGTATTGTAAGTGGTCTACATCCAAGTGCTCAAATAAAAGCCTTCCTCCTTTCTGTTATTGCGAGTGGATTGATTTGTAAGGTCATGTCATGAACTACTCACATGCAGCTTGTCAAAGAAGTTGTGAATAACGAACGTTCCGAGTTTTCCGTAAAAAATTAGTTGCATTTTATTTCAAGGTTGTTATACGAGTAGCACACAGAACTAAAATCAGTAGAAACAACCAGACAACCAAAAAACTCTCATCTTTTCATCTTCTGCTTTGACCAAAGCCTGAATTTTTGACTTCACGTCTTTTCCAAAATGGCAACGCGGGAGGGATCCGAAGCATTCTGCTGCCGATAGCAATGCGGACATAGAATTTTTTTGTTTTTGTAACTTGCGCAAAGCAAAAAATTTCGTTCCTACTCCACCCGCTCCTTAAAAACGAGTCGAAACCATCGATCCAGACGCTGGCGTTTTTCTGTCGTTTGAAGAGCGGCAGACGTGAAAAATTTGCGTTCTGTTTTGACTAGGTAATTAAGGTTATGAAAGTTAAGGGTGCTAATTTCAAGTACATTCTGAGGGTCATTATCACCTAACGATTAGTCTGTTTTTTTTTCTATGGCACAAAAATCTACAACGAATAATTATCAATCATGCAAACTTTGAAGAGAAAACAGTCTCTGAGTTCTTTCACCATATTTGTTTCCTGTTGAAGCTGCGGAAACCATTTGTGAGATTCCCCAGTATATTCAGAAAATAGAGGCATTTCCAGCACTATTTTCCCAGTAAAAGAAAGAGAAGTCATAAAAATGTGCTACTTTTGGTACCTGAAACGTATTACAGCTAAGTAAACTTTTTAGATATACCAGAAATGCAGGAAAACACTGCCTTAAATAACTCATGAAGTAAACTTCTTTTTTTACGTAACGCGTTTGCTATGCGCTCACTCCAAATGACACAAAATATGTGGTTCTGGAAGTGAGCGAGGACAGAAACCTTTGATCTCGGCAATGGAACGACATTAAAGAATGTATGATTTTGGAGGCAAACCATGACGATTCGCAGATTAGCCACACTAGTTTAAGGAGATTTGGCTCCATGCAATCCAATTTCTTTAACTAGGATAACGCAAGAATTTTCTAGCATCTCTTGGTCATGATCCAAAATGGAGCGCTATGGCGGTGATACTTGCTCTAGTGTTGTTTCAGAAAGCTTCCATAGATAATAATCGTGAAACATCTCTTAGGCTTTATTCCAGTAATATTCAGTAGCGAGTAACAATAATTTGTTTTTCAAATAACATAAATCACTGCATTTTTGATCGGGTCATTAACGAGAACTAAAATAAGCAGAGCAATTTTATGTAGATAGCTTTTGCATATCAACTCACCAATTGGGACTTTTGGCAATAAGGCTTGGCCAACAGTTATATGAACAAAGTCAACGTTGGTACTACTCGTGATGCGTTACCTTGGCAAGTTCTGTCCATGTAGACATGCAATTTTTGTGGACAATTGAAAATAAAGCAATTTCGAAGACAATCACGGGTTTGACTGTAAACCTTCCCCTAAATAATCTGAACCGTGCGTGTTTTTTGAATGGTCAAAAGGACTTCCATGCAATGATTTAGAGCATACGCGCGTATGCACAAAAATCGTTATGTGGAAGTCTTTTTCACCCTTGTTCATGAAACATGCAAACCATTATTTTCAAAATTACTTGTATCTTGCAGAGTTTATCAGGAATTACATGCACGAAGATTTCTGCATCATTTCCTCCTTCAATAAACTATGCAATGGCTATGTGTAAGAATCTCCTTCTGAGGAAAGCGTTATAATATTGAGTGTTTTTGCCTAAGTTCATCTTTGATTCCTCTCAGAACAGTTGTACAAGTCCCAACCTTCTCACAAGGAAAAGGTTGATCGAGATGGCGTTCCCATATGAAATGTATATCGTATTAAAGAGCATGGAACACTGATTTCAAATCTGCTCTTGTTATCTGCAAAGATCTTCTGAAAGGAGAGTTATGGGACTTTCTTTAAGCATAAATTTGGATCCGAGGCTACGATAAAGTCATCCGTGTTGCCTGTGAGTTCAAATGGAGCTATGATTACTGCCAGGGTGCGCAGTGTAATTAATAGCTTCAGTCCAATAATTTATGCCATCATTACTCCCTTCAAGCATTGGAAGACTCAACGCCTGTTTTTGCCTCAGCCAGACTCTTGAATTTTTTTCAAAAACATTCCCATTATTCCCTTCCCAGAAAAGCTTTGCAGATAATAAAAGTAGATTCGGAATCAGCGTTCCATACTATAAGGCACTGTACATTTCATATGGAAACTCCACTTCAGTCGAGTATGCTTTCCTTGTCAATAGAACACAATTGACATATTTCAATAGCTAAACTTGCGTTTTAAACTTTTGCAAAGCTACCGCAATGACTCTATATAACAATCGGGCAACCAGTATTGTTACTGCATATGTTACCTTAGCACTTTTTTTACACCTGAAAAACCAGTGTGCATACGTCTTATGCACGAAAGTGCTAAATGGGAGCTCCGGCGTGCATACGCGCGTATGCACGCGGTCATCGCCGTGAGGTATAATGCTGACAATGTACAGGCCGGCGAGGGAATCGCAAATGTGTGTTTTTCAATTGGTAATTCATCGTACACTTCCATGAATCTACTAAATTTGAACATTTGACGTGGGACAAAGAACAGAATTGTGTTAGCATGGTAAGATAAGCATACCAGCTATTCCCTCGTACATTGTTAAAATGTGAAAATTGCTGATAACTGAATTTATATCGCTGTGTATTGAAAACATTAACTTTGCTTCAGTACTTTCACTGGTATTTCGCGAATGGGCGGCGGTAGAGGTGGCATTTCCTTCTTCTGTTGACCTCCGGGACAGTCCCCACAGACACATCTCCAAGAGAAAAGTTTTCCTTTTACTTTTTCGCAGTGTGCGTTTTGGCAATTCTGAATTTCAATTCAATGAATCAATTCTTAAATTGATGATTCGATGATGAGTAAATAGGCATACTAATTGTTTCAAGCAACGTGCTCTGCACCCATTATCTTTGTTCAAAGCGCAAGGTCGGAACAGCGCACTCTGGCCGCACGCCTCGACTGAGATTTCCAAAACGAATAACAGTAGTGCAAATGCAACAAAATGACGCATCATTTCCTAAAAAGAAGAATGATTAGTTTGCAAATTGATATTTGATATTGATATAATGCAATATAATAGGAAAGATTCAAAACTTTACCTGTTTATTTGGCTAGGTATTATTATAGCTCATTTCAACATACAATACCGCTCGCATGTCCTGGAGAAAACGACGCAGAGTCGCCCTATTCACGTGACATCGCCGTAGCGTAACCATATCTCTCTTCAGTGTGGAAATTCTTGATCCAAAGGCACCATTCGACTCAGCTCAGCGCGGCGCATCTTCTAAGATATAGAAGTAACATTTTGAACATAGTAAGAGGCCAGATTTCACGATTCGTCCCAATTTTTTGCTCACGGTAGGTTGCCCAGTGAGTGCAATGATTAAGCGCACCGAGTAACCTACCGTAAGCAAAAATCTAAAACGATTCCTCCTGGCTCCTACTGTGTCCAAGCGGACACTTCTGGGCATTGGAAGATGCGCCGCGCCGAGCTGAGTCGAATGGTGTCCTTGAATCAGCGAGAAAAGACAGCGTCTGAAGCGAGTTATAGATATGCGACGGTGATGTCACATGAATCGGGCGACTGTGCGTCAGTTTTTCAAAAAATACGGTATTGTATGATGTTTGTGTGTTAGGCCAGCTTTCCAAACACCAGTTTTTAGGCACTAAGAATGTTCAGATTGCGTGGTTCTGCATCAGCCAACCTGTTCTGACTTTTCTTGAAAGACTCACTACCAGGAAAACTATCTGGCGCAGTTTTTGATCACTCGAAGCCCAAGAAAGTTCATTTACAAATCTGAATTTGTAAAGATTTCAAGTATCATTGCAATACTTACGAAAAACAAGTAATTGCACAGCTTTCAACTCTTGTGGGATACTTTCACGAATTTTGTAAAATTCTGCTTTTACCTTTTACCTTTTACCTTTTACCCTACCTAAATGCAAGCACGAGCCAGAGTTTAAAGATCGGGTAGCATAGAGGGATCTTTTGTTTAGTTAACGTACTATTATTTTTTCCAAAAAATATGTTGCTTTTTTATTTTGTTCTTGAACTTTGCTTGCGTTTCTGTTGCCAGAAAATTCATACCAATGCAGCGTTATTTCATTTTGGGTTGGTTTGAGAAATGCAGCTGAGGAATGTACGGTAAGAGAAATAACTCGAGAGCGTAAAGAAGTGCACAAAGATTCAAAATGACTCCGCCAATAGCAATTCCATCATTTATTAGTACGGATGTTTTCGATGTCAAATTGGTACGCCCTCTACTAAAACCATTATCTTTGCCAATGCATGAGCGAATAGAAACTATCAGTGCTATCGTACCACCTTTTCATCAATATAATGATGTTAAGCGCTTGAAATCGCTGATATTAGATGCTTTGCGCTTACTAAGATATCAGGCGATGTCACATGTTTGGCGCTGACTAAGACTTCTAATCTTGTGGCATGTCGATTCTGCGATGTCATATGTAAAAAGATAGAGATGGCATTGAAAATTCGAAGCTGACTTGATGAGAGGTTTGGTTAATTTCAGTTTTAATGTTATTCACGAAACAAATTGTCGCTTTTGAACTAATCTCGTTTCTTTTGAGAATCATGTAATTATACAAGGTGTGTGCAGGTTGCTGTGCCGTTTCCCACACAAGTAGTTGTACACTACAAATCTGTAGGAGTACAAACGTAAATTTTTAGCTCTATACAAGCTTTAGTTCTCGAGAAATATCGAATACAGTTTTCCCTAATCATGTAGACCAAGCTAAAATTCAAATTTCTCGAGAACTAAAGCCCGTACAAAGCTGAAAATTTAAGTCTGTACTTCTACAGGCGTGTGGTACACAACTACCTATGGGAACGGCCAGCCTCACTTTAGCAAATGCACGAGAATTTCCGTTTTCTTGATTTTGACAGAGAAAAAAATACGGCAACGGCGTATATAAATGCCCGATACGGATTATGTTTACGTTAGCAAATTAGAATTTTTGTAGGGTTTTTATGAACTGAGTTAAGATTTTTCTTAATTTTTCGGGCACTTGAATCTTTTTAGTTTCTGGCTCGAAACTCGTGGTGGATCAGAGCTGTTGATGAAGCCGGATAGCCATTTTGTAGAACTTGCTTTGCTCTATCGAATTGTATTTTGCAACCTATTCAGAGATGAGAAGCGTATGACTTACTGCGGTTGAAAATTAACCTGCATCAATTCCCGGACAACCTAATACATGACTTCTATCTTTATCTTAAATGTTTTCATACAAGCAAAGCACGGTTTGATAAATTTTTCTCTAGGCTTTTGGTAACTCCATTGGGGACGCAATTTGATGCGATCGCAAAGTGAATCAAAGCGGAAATGTTTTATTCTCATCTAATGTCCCGTAACATTACTCTTTTCTTCCCCTTCCCTCTTCTTATTCTTTTAACTATTGTGCTATTCATGAGTTTTTTATCATTCGCTAAAGAGCGGGATTTTGTAGGGGGGAAGATAGGGAGATCGGGGGGGGGGAGGGTGAGGGAAAGAAAGGCGCGGCGTACTGCGGCAGGACGCAGCAGCCTGCCGCAGCACGCAGCGTCCTGCGGCGTGTGCCGCTGCAGTCGCAGTAAAAATGTAAGCTCGCTTGCTGTGAAAAACCTCGGAGAACACGAACGTGCAGCAAATATAGAGATACATCCATAACCAGCGCAGTTGTGTTTCCGTGAGCGTATATTACTGCGACTGCAGCGGCGCACGCCGCAGGATGCAGCGTGCTGCGGCGCAGTGTGAAGACACCCAAAATTTGATGGAGAGAAGAAGAACGAGAAATGAGTAGTGAAGGCTAAAAGAGATAGGGATCAAAGGCCAAATTACAGAGGGACTTTCAAAAACTCATTGGTTCCAACTCGTGTCGAGTCTCGGCCTCCTACAAAGTCAGTAAGTTGTTGTATCCCTATAATCAATGAATTTGTGAGTTTGTGCCAAACAGTATGCTCTTTCGTAAGCTGATAATACTCGCTCTTGTGGTTTTGGTGTATAGCAGCAGCAGCAGCAGCAGTAGCAGTAGCAGTAGCAGCAGGCTCTCACGAAACTGAGAGCAGCTCTGACTTGCTTTACAGTGCATGAAGACTCATTGCGATCAAATCGATCGTCACGATTAAAACAAAAGGACCAAATGTTACGATGATTGCTTTACACTAGCCAAGAGAATTCTCGGATAAGGTAGAAAGTATTTCGTGAGGCCATACTAATTACCAGTCTGTCTCATGTACTTCACTGGGAATAAACTTGTTGTGTAAGGTGTGCTCATCTTTACGAATGTTTACACATGGAATACGACCCTCATAGAAAGCGCGCTGATCAGCATGCTGGTGAATTATAAAGCGGGCTTTTAGGGACTTGTAGCTTAATAACCCTATGGCATTCTTTCAAGATGATGGAATCATCAAAAGTACCACACCTGATGTAGTGTCTCCGTATGCCTCAATCGTTTGAAGGCACCGTTTACTCTAAATTGAGGTTCTTGAGCTTTTGGCAGCGTATGATAGTAGGGTTTCTTATAAGCAAATGCCCAAGTCGTGGCGCAATCTCGCTTCAGAATCGAGAAAATTGCTAGGGAATAAAGATGCACGAGAATCCACAGACGGCACCGCCCTCCCCATTCACGCCCGCCCATCCGTGCGCGCCCATCCCATCACCGTTCCGGAAAGCCCGCCTGTGGGTTCTCCGGAACGGGAATTGTAGGTATTTCCGCGGATTCTCGACTTCATATTCGGCATCAGAGTCATGAGAAGGCCCTGAATCGACAAAAATTTAGAAGTCGAGAATCTGGGTGGGCCTCCAACAAATTGGTCATTATTGGTCAGCTGTTTTATTGGTAACGTAATTTTAAAGAGGTTTCAAAACATGTTGGGCGTTTTAAAACTTGGCTCATCATAAGATAGCACTTTTTAATGGCACATAAACCGAGATACTTTTAGCAAAAGTGTCTACTTAAAATGTGATTTTTTTTACCAAAGTATCTACAAAGAATTCAAAGTACTTAAGATTTATGTAAGCTTCAAAGCTGCGAGTTAGAGAATACATGGATGAGCACAAGTACGTGTTCACAACGTGAACTAACGCTTCTACCTGCGTTGATTACTGTTTCACATGTCCTTTCCTTTTTCGCGTTTCTTTGTTTTCGAGCTAGTTTCCACGCAATAACTGCTATATGTGACATTACTTACATCATCTGTAAGCCCTTTTCTCGTAGTTTTCAGAACTAGAACTCTAGTTTTCATGGATCTTCGGTCAAGTTGTAGATGAGTATTTTGAGTGGAGAAAAGCAGGAGAAATTTTTCTTGTTGTTCTTTTTCTATGACATCCGCGAGAGATGAGTTTTCGAAAACATGTACATTTCTTGCTAAAATCTCCTAACAAGATGCTTGTCATAGTATAATTTGCAGAAAATTTTGAACTAAAAATTTTTGATATAAGCATGACTTACCTTCAAGAGTTATAGCAGCAGAACTGGGTCGAGTAATTTCTTGTTTTTGCAGCGAAAAAATAGCAAGTCTATAACGCTTAATCTTGCCGACTTTGAGTAAGCAATCAAATAAAGCAGTATATCAAAAAATCTTACAAGGGTATGGTCAGAAGTCGGAGTGGCCAATCTACACAAGCTTCATATCATACGATGGAGCACAGAATGCTGATTTCAAATCTGTCTTCCGTATCTGCAGAGCGCCTTTGTAGGCGAAGTTATGAGCAGCTTTACAGCGAAAAAATCGTGTACAGAAATTGCGAAATTAGGCACATTATTGCTCTTTCAGCTCCTCTAGGTACAGGTCATATGAAATGACCTGGTTGCATGTTTTGGTCCAACACTGAGCCGAGAATGGTTTTGTACGGCCAAGTTTGCACTTTACACGCACAATTTCTTAGCAAAATAATGGCCTTCGCCCACATAATCGCTCTCAGATAAGGAAGACAGATTTAGAGTCAGCGTTTTATGCGGCATCTAATGGTGTGCAGCTTGCCCGAATTGGTCACTTCGATTTCTGACCATTCCCTCGTTAGAAAAACCTTAGAGTCTTCCTCATTTCGGATTTATTCCTGGCATTTTTGAAAAGGCATAAGTATTTAAACGTAGAATAGACTCTGCTATGTAATAAAGTAAGGCTGTAAAACTTCATGTAGGGAGTAGGAGGTTCAAGAGCAGTGACTGTAGCGCAAGGTTTGCCCTATTTGCTTGGTAACTGCTTTTCCAAAACTATAGATCAAAAGTAGAGCAACTGGCAAACATTTGAGGCGGTAGTGGCTTCTTAATGATGTGTCTTGTCTTACGACTCGTTTTTAGGGCCTATAATGATAAAAGAATTACAGTAGGTGGAAAATCACGGCAGGTTTTTTAGCAAATAATTTTCTGAAAAAATAATAAAGTTTTCCGTTTGCACAAAGATGTTCCGGTAACTCGTCAATGCTCTACTCATTTCGTGCAGAATGTTCCATTGTATTCGCTTATAATGACCTTCATAACTTCCAGCATCTGGCTTGGTTTATCAGTTGTGCTCGAAGACGTAGCTTGTCGGGCTCCTTTCAATTTTATTGTACGAGACTTCAATTTCAAAGTCATGCTCTTAAGCTCAAATGAAAAATTTTCCAAACTGAATCAATCACAAAGTCTGTTTTGTCGGTTATACTGGATGTTGAATACTGGCGTTGCTTCTACAATACCGCTCACATTTTTTGAAAAATAGACGCGAATATATGGACATGTATGGACATGTCTATACATGTATGGACTTGTCCGTACATGTATGGACATGTCCGTACATGTCCATACATGTATGGACATGTCCGTACATGTCCATACATGTCCATGCATTCGCGTCTATTTTTCAAAAAATGTGAGCGGTATTGTATTTTTCTATTTTCTAAATTCCTTTTTGAATCTACGGACACCCAAACAACAAAAAAAGAAAAAACTTGAGAAAAAATGAGAGGATATTACAAATATTGGCTTTGATGCAGAGTTCAAAAAAGCTCTTTACCTCTGTAAAATCAACATCTCATTTCTAGCGAATAACACGATGGCTTCACACCTAAAAAATTTTACGTAGTACGCGTACGAGTTTCCACACCAGCTAATTGTTTTTTCTCATGGGCCCCAAAGTGATGGGAGGAGAAAAGAAGGGGTATTCAATATATCATGGCGTGAATTTGCAGAGCAAAAATGCGATGGAAACAACCACCTCCACGTAAGTTGCTTTGATTTAGTGATACTATGGATGAAGGGGCCCTGAATATTTTGATAAAATTTGATAAAATTATATTATTTTACAGCTATTATTGGAGAAATTTGCCGATGTTGAGCCAGGACACCAGGCAAAAGTGGCATGCATCTGTATAGATCTTGATGATAATGCCTGAAAGCTGTTATAGTTTATGCAAACAATTATGTGCCACAGATTCCATCAGTTTATTGTAACACTTGGTTTCAAACTTATGCTCAGTGATT